TTCAGGGAACCGGTTTTTCCAGAAATGGCCTAACCCCTGTGGGTTTATGAGGTCTTCGAACTATTGTTTTTTCACGATTTTTCACCCCCATGGAAATATATTTGGTGAATTTAAGTCTGGTTGGTTTAGGTGTTTGCCATGAATCGGAAACTAGACTCTGCAGCCAACAGATGTTTGCCTTTTGTTGCGATGGCAAGATATTTGGGCACTTGCTAGTACGTTTGCATATATAGATGTAGTGGTCAGTCAACATTCACCACTGGATGATCCCATTATGCCCACATGACCCACCCGGTATATCCCCAACCAGGAATAGGATAAGCACATGTTTTGGTGGACCTCAAGGTGAACTAATGGATGGAAGTGGCCTGCACCAGACATCATGATGTCATTTTCATGGGGGGCGGCCTCGGGCTGCTTCAAAGATTATAGTACAGGGCCAATGGGGGATTGCAAGATTTACAAGGTACTGCAAGGTTCCCTCAGACCGCGTTTTTAAGGGCTGCCCCCTGACGCCGACCCCTGAGAAAAAAGAGAAGAAGAATTCATCAGCAGCAAGGCTAGCAACAGCAGAACAAGAAAAGCATGACATAATTTAATGTAATCATATGTAATCCTGTTCTGGCTGATGGACAGGCACCGGTTTGCAGGGGTCTTGTTGGACGGTTTGGATTGGCCATGATTGGCCACTGCACCGCTGTGGGGGCGACCCAATCACCGTCCTGAGCCGTCAGGAAGCACCTGACCGGCCAGAGCAGAAGCTTACCTCTGAGGAGCAGCTGTCAATGGAACATCCCATCGAAATGGAGGTAAATCGCTCAGTTTGGAGAAAGTTGGTTTGCACACTGCAGATCAGCGAAACTTCTAGAGTTCCATAGAATTGTCAAACTCTGTCTTCCATTGGGGTGTGCCCAAACCACAAACATTTGATTCGCAGCCAGGAGACCAGACCATCTGCCACTGCCACACATAGCACAGTCCATGACCACAGAGATCCGTCGGCGAGATTTTGTGCATCATTTTTCAATGAGATCCTACCCTCTTTCATCATTTTCATCCTCTTTCCTACCCAATGTTACCAATGTTCTTGCCCAAAAGGTTTGCTGTCTTCTTAGCCACTAAAAGGAATGGTTGTTTTTCAACCATCATCTATCCATGGTTTGCTGTCTCTTACATTAGTTAGATCAAGTTTGTGTAATTTGGGTACGAACCAGCTGTGTAACAATTGGACAGCATGAAAAGGACGGCCATCACCTCGCACTTGACAACTCGCCAAGGCCATAAAGGCTGTGGCACATAATCTGCTGGTCAAGTCCTCAGTTGAGGCCAAGTGGCATTTCCAGAAGGAGCAGAAGGAGTAAGCTGATGTAAAAAGCCTAATTGGATGGTCTTAACATGTCTTAACAAATTAATTCTGCTTTTCCATCGCTACTGTTGAAACGCTCAGGCTAAATTTCCCAGAGCTACTCAAAACATCTCAAAACATCTCAAAACTCATCACAGACTGACCGTTTCTATCCATTTCTAATCCAACATTCATCAACATTCTGTTGTCCAAGCTTTTTGCCCCCAGTCGAACTCTTCGTAGAAAGATTATTGCTCCGCTCAGCTCCCAGTCGCGATTTCCGACGGAGTCGATCATCACAAATATCTACGTCTATTTCTTCATCGTGATGACCTTCATCGCTGCATTCTCAGTGAGTGCAGGAAATGCTGGAAGTGCTGGATCTGAATGTGAAAATATGCACAATAATTTTGTTCACTTTTTTCAACAACTCCGGTATAAAGTTATAAAGGAAAGTTCAGACCACCTGGTCTCTTGGTGATTCTTGGTGTCTTGGAGTAAACTTTACTTCTAAAAAGGGGTTTCTGGCAACGTATCTGATGAGGTAACCTTTTACATTACAGCTTTCCAGATGCTCGAGGAGGCGGGCAAAGCTGGCACTTGCAAGTTGACTATGTTGGAGATAGATGATTCGTCTGATGGTAGATGAATGTAGATGCTGATGATATATTATCTTGTGAATCTTGTTAGTTATATCAGTTATATCTCATAAATTCTCATGATATCTTACAAGATTGAGTAAACCCACCACTTTTTGTTGCACAACCCGCCAATCCCTGATTGTGCTTGAAAGGAGACGGGAGAGGTAACTGAAATTTTGTAGATGACTTCCAGTGCAACTGCATTTCGTGCATTCACCTATGTTATCCCTAAAACTGTCCTCTATTTGTGCTGGAAAGCTACCGAATGTATCGGAATCCAGATGAAACTCCGCCAGGAGCACGCAAAGGAAAGCTGACGGCCGCAACCCTGACGGGCATGGCCGGCATGGCTGTAAATCTTCTGATGTGGCTCCACAGGAGCGCAACGATCTTTGATTTCTTTATATTTCTTTTTTCAGACCCAAAAATAAGATAAAAATAGATAAAATAAGTATTCTTCCGGACATTTTTTGCATAGCAAGATTCAGACATCAGGCAATTCGGATCAATTCGGCATGTTTGCCCCCACACAGGTATTTGTCTACATGATTTTACATGTCACCTTACGTCACCTTATCCATCCTTATCCTATCTAGTCATTTTGAGCTCATGTTACATTCATCGCAGTGGCCAGGCTTTGGTAGATGGAAACGTCTCACACCTAGATGCACCGGTTGAGCCAGCCCTCAAGATGAGGCTCAAGAATCAAGAGGTGCATGAGGAGACGTAATTAGCGAAGGAGTTGTGCACCAATAATCAGGAATGGATAGGAATGGTTTCAACATGGGAGCAACTCTTCACTAAAACAAACTAAAACCAGTGAAAGTTCACCAAATTCTTCAAAGAATTCCAGACAACAGCGGACAACATTCTGCTTTTGCTACACTTCTCTGTGCAGCTCAGTAGGCTGCTGCCGGTGATACCGGCGAACCCCGATGTACATATCCCACCGGGGGCGGACAGCCCTTGACCGTGTCACCCAGCGCATGGCGCCGGGTGGACAAAAAAAATCGGCGGTTTCCTGACCCAACGGTTACCCGAAAAGATCTTGGTCATTCGATCGGTCGGCTTAGGCAGCGATCCTGGACCACCTTACATTTTCTACAGATTTACAGGCGTACCCATCTACGAGTATCATTTGCATTGACCTCCGGTATCTTTGAAGGAACTGCACAAAACTTATCAAAACTTAATGCCTTCATAGGCTAGAGAGGCGGGAAGGAAGCACAGAAGTACAGCTCCGTTTATGTTGACGCCTCTGAAGATAGTCAGCACTAGATTGCTCAACGAATGAACGTGTCGCTGAAGCTACGAAGACTCGATTGTTTTCCCTTACATATGGATATGTTATATTATATGTTATTTATATGTTATATTATGATATGCTGATACTTCAGTAGTCAGCTGTCTTCCTGATGTTGGACTACTGTTGATTGCAATGAAGGGATGCGTTTCCAAAACGGCAGGTTCAGATGTCTGCCATGGCCACTAAAGTCACTAATGTGGTGTCTTTTCATCATGATCAGCTGCTTCACAAAGGTCTCGTCACTTGTTTACAAACACATACAAACAACTGTTGACGAAGTGTATCTTCCATTCTGCAGAAGTCAAGACATACAATGTTTGAAAGATTCTTTTTTGAAATATAATGTATATATCCGCATGGTATGAACACAATGTTTGAACATCATTTGGGTATTTGATGGCCATCCTATGCCATCCTTGGCTAATCCGTTGAGCCCCCCGTTTGGCTCCCTTTCTCAGCGAAGTGGATAGACAAGTCAACTATTTCACCTCTGCGAGGCATCCAATTTGGGTGGATCATGGTGGATCACTGGAGCGAATTTGTCCGTCAAAGTAAATAATTTTGATGAGGATGAGGGGTTCAATGTTTGAAAGATATGGATTCAGAGAACATGGCTCTGACGATTGCAAGGACCTTAAGCAATCCCGTCAATGACAACCCGAAAGAGGAAGGAGAGCTGATAATATTCGATTGACAACCAAAGAAATCCGCCTAAGTCTCCTAAGTACTTCAAATTGGCAACTCTAGGACTCTAGGGTTTGGCGTGGACGGTGCCAGGTGGCCAGGTGGACAGGTGAACAGCAATGGCGCCAGCTACTCAGTGTCCAGGGGAGACATGGCCACCTTGAGGGAAGTACTCGTAAGCAACACATAGATACACATAGGCTATGGGTAAAGAATGGGCAACCATTGCAACCATGGGAAACCCAAGAAATCACATGAAATCACTGCTACATGTGACACAATTCTTTTGACTGAAGTGTTGACTTTTTTGACACACACAAATGACACACAAACGTAAACAGAGATCGGAACAGATTTTCTCAGTTCCCATGTCCTGTATTTCTTACATCTCCAATGTATTTCCCAATGTTTTGCTCCATGTTTTCTTATGTTTTCCCTATGATCACTAGATTCACTAGATTCACTGGCATGCTGGCAGTGGCCCTGGAGGACCTCCGACGACTTTGCGGTGGTACGAAGCATCATCGAGGACGCCGCCCATGGCCTGAAACGCAGCGTTGAAGCTGAAGAGCTGAAGTCGTGGCGTTCTCTCCGAAAGATTGCGAAAACCCAAAAGAAACCTATCCTTTAAAAAGCCTAATCCCTATCATTAAAAAAACGGATAACAAAGGGCCCAATCCCTATACCAATCATTCCTAATTCCTGTAGGCGCCTATAGGCCTGTGCAATCCTGTGCACACCAATGCACACAATACCTTGTAGACAGTAGAACTTTGGCAGTTGGAAATACTGTGAAGATTCCTGCGGTCCTGTGCACGCTGTGTGCAGGCTGTTTCTGCTCAGGCTCAAATAGGTCTTGTTACTCTTAAACAAAACCCGCAGTTTTCGAGTTAGCAGCTGGCTCACATCTGTATACCGAGAGCAGATATCCAAACACCCCCCTGAACCTTTCCTCTTTTACTCCAGGTCCTTTTGAAGCCCCATGAAGAGGTTAGGAAGTTCCAAATAAAATTTCACCGGTGCCATGGTCACTGCCGCTGTGGAACACTATTTGCTGAAGTACCTACAGCCTTATGCCATGGACTCAGCTGGAACCAGCAAACTTCAGAAGGACTTGAAGGAAAAGATCAGTTCACATTTGGTGAGCTAGCCAACTTGTACTATGTGCCACGGTGCCACGCGGATAGCCAATATGTACATATAATATTATATAATATTATATATAGTATATTATATATGTATATACTACATCCTGCTGTATTATGTTATATACCTGCACCAGTTGCAGTCAGGGGTTGGTTGATCATCAATCCACAGATTTCCAGTGACAAGGCAATCCTGGAGCGTCTCCCACTTTGAAATGAACCCATCTGCCATCTGCCATCTGCCATCCATCAACCATTTGGGAATCCACCGGGTGTTGTGAAAGCTACGACCCGAGGTGGATGGCATCGATGCGAAAGATCTGCAGTTGTCGCTCTGGAGCGGCAAACTGGAGCTGAAGGATGTGAAGGTCACTGGGTCACTGGGTCACTGGGGCTGCTTGGGAGGTGAAACTGGGATGGAGATGATCAACCTGGGTGAGATGGGTGACCAAATTTGATGGTTCATTGGGAACCCAATTTAGCCTTGTACCTATTTGAGGGATGGTTGGGGTATAATTGGCCAAGAAGGCATTGCTTGTAGGAGATATTTCACCACAAATGATTCGGGATAGGGGCAAACAAAGTAACCGAAAAATACAGTACTTCAACATAAATGCATCCAAAACAGTTGGCAACAACGATGGATGTGAAAGGGACTTGCGACACTATTGATTGAAGATGGACGGTTTTGAAATGAGTGAACTGCTCTACCACTTTTGGTCCGAGGATTTCCTGAGGGATATGACATGGCTGGGACGTATTTAGCTTAGAATTGCACTTTTTTGTCTGTGCGTGTGTGCGTCTGTGTTTGTGAAGTCACATAGCACATCGACATTGTCAATGATAGCTGAGTTTGTCTCCGTGAGTGGCTGAAATGTGTGAATGGTTTGCAAGGGAGAAATTGTGACAATCCGATACAATCCGTCCAGATCCGTCCAGATGAACTATAAAATTATGATAAAATTATGATAAAATGATCAACTCAGAACGGATTTCCAAAATTGATCGACCGGTTCCACCAGGTGAAGGAGGACGTGCTGGGCCTCTTGGGCGTGGAAGGTACGGCACGGGGGACGGTAGGCCCGGTAGGGCACGGTGTCACCATCTTCACGTCCATGTCACGTCCATGTCACAGGTGTCATGTTTCCGAACCTTCCAAGAACCTGCAAAAAGAACCTTCCAATGGATACAGCATAACATAGCATCATGCGGTCTGCGGATATGATGAGTTATGATGATATGTTGCGTGACAATGCCTCTTTCTGAACATGAGCGGGAAAAAAATCCAGATGGCCCAAGTCCGACTCGTTTCAGTTGCGCAGCTGGCAGGTGTTCGTGTGCCAAAAGGCCTAGTGAAAAGAATTTGCATCACCTTGCCCAGCAAGACACGAATCCTATCAGGATGAGGGATGGTGATGGCCTTGTGGTGAAACAATTCACATTAATTAATTATTGTTAATTCACACATGGGACTAATTAAGTGATACTAAGTGACTAATTAAGCTGTAGAATTTCAGGACTGGCTTTACGGATGCAAATCAGGTTCTGAAAATATCTTAAAATCTTCTGGGAATCTGTTTCTGAGGTTCATCCCAAATCACTGAAACTCGATCATTGAACCAAAACGCACATGTGTCATTTGTGTTATTTGATGTTTATTTGATGTTTATTTGCTATTGCTCCCGTTTGCGTTGAACTCTATACACCCGATGCCGCAGGAAAGATCAGCATCCAAGTTGATGGTGTTCAGCTTCACGGCGAACATCTCAGTGAAAGCAGTGATGAGGAGGCTTTGAGGCTCGGAATTGTCGGGCAGAGGTGATCAGATGCGTCAGATGGTCCATCGCAGAAAGCACCAACGGTCTGCCCACAGGAAGGTCAGAAGTACGAAACTTGAAGCAACCGCGCTGCGAATGAATCAACTCAGAGCTTCTTGGTTCACTCGGCAATCTGCCCAATGGTGTTTAGGCATGTTTCGTTGGGAAACCAATGAGTTGGCATGGTCTGGCTTTGCGGGATGAAGCCACCCTTTGGATCAAGTACAAGTGACAAGTGTTGACCATCTTTTCCTTCCATTGACCAGTAAATGCCCAAACACTTCTAACGATGTAAGATAACGGAATTACGGTATGCTTTCTCCAAAGATGTTTAAAGATGGGGATGGTTCAAGGCCTATTCATGCCTACTTTATGAGCTATTTTGATGATCACCAGGCTGCCAAGGTTTGATCCATGGCCACGTAGATCATGAAGATCCATCAAGATCCATGAAGCGACAAGGGACAAGGGGCTCTCTAAGGATCTTCATCAGCGACAACAACAGGCTCAGGACAAGCTGTTTCACATCTAGCGCTATTTCAGTGACGGACAGCTGAAAAATCTGCAGAACTAGGGATACCTCAGCAGTTTTCTTTTCCTTGTCGGAGGAAGCCTATGAACAGGCCGAGCCTGGCTTTGGAATGAGGCGATGCTTGGAATCGGTTTGGACTGGCTTGGTACCACAGTTCTTGAGGTTTTTGCTTGAGTTTTCCAGGGTTTCCCACTAGGATTGAAAATAAGGTTATGGATCGCAATTGGGCAAATGGATGCAGAATAGCTGTGGTTCCAAGGGTCTGCTAATTTTACCAGTGCCCGTATCAATTTTGGTGTTCTCCTTCATTGGGGCCCAATGTCTTCTACCAACTCTTCAAATGCCACTTCATTTCATGTTGGATGTCCTGATTTTCTGCTTGGCCCTGATGTCATTCCTGACTCTGAGAGCTAGGACACAGAAAGGCTCAGAAAGTTGTTTTGGTAGTTTGCTAATGTTTGCTAATCAGCCATGCTCGGCCAGGTTTGCTCGGAGGCTCATCACCAACCTGAGCTTCTCGGCAGTCGTTGGCATATCAATTTGATAATATCAATTCATAGATTTCGTAAGCAAAGTGTTTTTGCCCATGTCTCTAGAGATCCACTTTGACTTTGTACTTCTGCATCTTTCTGCCCCACTTATTTCGGGTTGTCGAAATATGTATCATATACTCTGCACGTGAATTATCTATCCACCCATCCATCCATCCATCTATCCATCTATCCATCTATCCATCTATCCATCTATCCATCTATCCATGTATCCATCTTTCCATCTATCTGTCTGTCTGTCTGTCTATCTATCTATCTATCCATCTATCCATCTATCTGTCTGTCTATCTATCTATCTAATATAATTATAATATAATTATATATGATATATAATGTAATATGTGACTAATCTGCAGCAAATACAAATTATGTCAAGTATCAACTATCAACTGAACCAACTGGATGTCAATACTTTCGTCACACTGGCACCACGAATCAATGTGACAGGTCTGGAGCTGTCGGATGTGAAATTGGCCTTCGACAATCAGGACAATGAGTCGATATGAGTCGATATGAGTCGATATGAGTCGTGTGTTGAAGTTGCAAATCACAGAATTCCCAAGCTGAGGTCGATTTCCAGCAAGATCTGCATGTCTTGATTTCTGGATCTTGAGGGGCTTAGATTTTGAAGGACCGACATTGAGCGTTGAAACCTGTCAGGATCCAAAAGCCTGCTTTGCTGCGGCCATGTCATCCCTGGAAGTACTGTCGACTGATAGTTCCTTCAGGATGCTTGGTTTGGAGAGTTGGTGGCCTTTCTGTTTCTACTACAGTACCTAGCAGTCCAACAGGTTGTTTGGTCTTGTGATCCTATAAACGTCTCATACTACTTCCACGCTTATCACCACGAAGTTTGTCTATGGTCGAGCCTCTTCAAATTCCCATGGCAAGTCCAATAAGAAGAAGATACGCTATTGAATGAACCGCACAATATGGGTAGACACGAAGAGATGAACGACTGTCTTCATATCGTGTGTTCATATCGCTGATTTCAACATTGCAGCCTCAACACTTTGGCATTGCGGCATCTCAGGAAATTTCAGAAAGACGAGGTCCTGGAGGATCAAGGATCTTCTCTGTATCCTGGCAGCCAGAAACCATCATCGATACACCTATGATATCCTATGATAGTACTAGTACATCCCATATCATCCTGCCATATCCCACTAGTAACAGTCACTTAGTATGCTGATGTATACTGTAGGTTTTCTTTCTGCGTGTTTTGACACGAATTTTGACATGAATAATGCTCTGACAGGTTCAAGGTTCTACGCTTCGATGGCCTGAGTTTGTCATACGGACAGACCAAGGAGGACTCGACTCGAAATGTGTCAAGCGACCAACCGTCAGATCTTCTTTTCGGAGAAATGTCATCCATGTCCGTACTTGGGTCACAAGGATGCGTTCAAGTTTGGGTAGTCATTTTCCACATAGTCACTTTATGTCACTTTGTCAGATTTGATGATCATCGGATGCACTGGCTGAAAATTCGAGGAGCTGTCTAATGTGGTGAGTCCTGTTCGAGCTGAGTTGAAGGTAGATGGGGCGGTGCTGGTCATGGAGTTCCAACCTTATTGTCTTGTGGTTGGAAAGAGTTACTTTTCACTTTCTACATCAAATTCATCCAAACTCACTTCAGGTGTTTCTTCGAATGTAGATGGCCCAAAAAAGCGTTGCCTTGGGCGATGACAATTTAAGGCGTCTCAAATAAATCTTGTGAGGACAATTCTGGGACAACCTAAAGTCCTTGGAGGGGTGGTGCAGCCAATGTCATTGGATCATTGGATTTTGGGTGTCAACGAGGGCTTTCCACTGGAGAGGAACGGCAGGCAGGGAGCTGTTCTTGGTTCAGGTGGGACACGTCCCCGATGGTGGCATGTTGCGATTGGAGGTCAGCTGGCACGGCAAACTGGTCACCCAAGGATCCGGTACGTGGGGATGGGTCAACACCGATGCATCATGACCATCATGATACATATTTTTATTCTTGTTGGATTGTTTGGGGGGATGAAAATCTCTTTGTCTATTTTGATGTTTACAATGTTTACATATTACCATGTTCACCAGGGTTCCAGATATCACCCCAGCTACCCCACGTACAAGTGTCATGCAATTTTGCACAGGGTGGGCAAACATGTACCACCTTCAAGGAATGTGGTTGAAATCTTTGTCCACCCGCTCCTGTGATGTTTGACATAAGCTCACTTGCTCCGAGCATCTGGATATGCATGTGCAGTAGAACTCAGCGCAGAAGTACGAATCGATTGCGGCTGGATGCTGCTAATTCTCATCCTGCAGAACATCGGTGAACAAAAATTCTCCGGCACCGACTCATAGGAAGATCCATCCACGCATGGAAATGATGAACATTTCACAACTACTAAATTCAGCAGCACTGCACATTGGCCAAGGTGGATCTTGGCACAGACAAAGCCACTGAGATCCAAATGAAGCGTTCGCACATTTTAGGCGATGTGGAGGGTGAGTGAAGGACTTTCTTGGCCAGAGCGATGCCTATGTGCCTCACTTGGGCAAGAAGTGGGTTCACCATCTTGACGAATAGCAACAATCCTCAAAGCAGGGGACTCACCAATTTCCACTTCCACAGAGATCCACGAAGCTGATTTGGGGGAGTTGAATGGAATTGATACGTTCGGTGCCCTTCCTGTATGCGGGGGCATTGAGATTCTCGTTGCCAGGCATGCTAGCGCTCAAGGCCGCCTTGAATCACAAGTGGGAGCGACTACGTGAAAAGCTGGTGGATCCACAGGTGTCATGGCTTTGCCACTGGATGGTGCGAAGAAAATGTGCTGGTCAGCCATTTTCACTTTCACATCTTTCACATCTTTCACTACTGTTCCTTTTGGTGAAAAGTTGGGCATTCGTATTTACTGTATGAGTTCATCATGAGTTCACAAACCATCAAGAAACATTTGAGGTAGAGGCTATGGTGATGATTGACTTGGACGCTTCCAAGGTCAGAACTGGGTGGTCCCCCAATGCTGGTGGTCCAACATACCAAATTTTAAATAATTTAAATCCATGTGTTTTGTGTGACATAAAATGCGTAAAATGCAAAATCCGACCAGTTTTTAAATTGTAAATGCTTAAAAAAAACAAACTTGAATGATGGCCCTGTGGATTCACAAAAACAGTTGTCCGAAGGGTTCAGGTGCTTTTGTCATGTGATTCCACCTACACTGTCCAGTGAAAGCACTAGTTGGTTCGGGTGTTGATTGACATATAGGCCGCATTTGAACTGCCACTCAGTTGATCGCTTAGATATTGATCCTCCTTTCAGCCATCCGTGGATCCAAGAGTGGAAAATCACATGGAGCAGGAGAGATACTTCACTCTGTTTCGACAACAGTGTCTCTCTAATGTGGACAAGGGAGAGGCGCCGGAGAACCTGTTTCAGTCGTGATGGAAGATATATGACTTCAGGATACTTCAGGTATTCAGGTATTCACATGCTTCAGCCCAATGATTACACTATACACTACACGCTACACATACCATGATAAGATATCCATGCAGTGTGCAGATGTGTGTAGTCACTATGCACACATGTCACAGCCGTGTATTCACTATACATACAATTCACACATCAGGTGGTTGCCCCCAAAAATATCAAGTAATAATCTATGAAATCTATGATAACATTACTAATTTGCCACTAAAATATGCCGCCAAGGGACTGTTTTAAGTTTGCATATAATTTGCTCACAAGTTTTGCCAGTTGCATTGCCAATTGCAACAATTCTATACCATTCTAGCCTTCTCCAGCTACAAATTTGACTGCGTTTTCTACAAAAATGCATTGCTACATATTCCAATCATATTGCAAACATATTGCTGCTTTTCCAGAACCGACAGGTGAAGGTCCTGGCAGCCCTGCAAGAAACGGGCCTCAGCTGTGCTGCGCTAGAGCCAGAGGACAACAAGGACACCGTCCCAGTGATCTCAACTGTTGGCCACCCCACAAATATGTATTGGCAATATTTAATAATGGATGATAATATATATATATAAATAATGAAAAGAAATATAGTTGATATCAAATACATTCTAAATACATTCTAAATGCAACATATTGTGTATGTATATAAATATACATGGGATAGTGGTTTTCGGACTGCTATAAGGCGCCATGTTGAGTGTCAGGGACCATGACCATGTGCATGCAAGGTTATCAATCTCATGTTGCTGCAGGAATTTGATTCCAAACTCTAAGCAACAATATGTCGACAAAAAAATCAAGGCACTGCCAAACAATACCAGACAGGAGAAGAATATGCCAACAAAAAAGAACAATGACAGAAATTCTCAACTACTTGAACTAGATACTAGATAGATAGATATGATAGATAGATAGGCTGACAGCTGCCTGCCTTTTGGTGCCGTCACGTTGCTAGGAATTGGAGACGCTGGAAAATGTCTTGCCTTTTCAATTGCTGGCATCCGCAGCCTGGATTGAAAACTGCGGTTTCAAACTGCACCACAAATGGTGACAGCAGCCCTTTGTGCCTTTCACATTCTTTAATTTAACAAGAGGATCACTCAAAATGAAACGAAGCTTTTTGGATCGTTGAGCACGAGCTTTGGTAGTCTGTCCTCGGTGAGTCCTCAGGCACGCTACCGAGCCGAAGATTACATCACGGAGCTCCTGAAAAAGGCCGCACCACAGGCGCACAGACATCAGATTTATGAGATTTATCAGATTTATCAGATTTATCAGATTATTGATTTTTGATGAAAATGCAAACATGGAATCACCTCATATTCCAGATGGCATCAAATGGCTGTGGCACACTGTGGCTATGGTTTCAAAATCATTCAAGCCCCAAAGCTGGATTCCCCCAAGGTTGCAAATATCACTCGATAATTGTGGCTAGTTACATAGTGCTGCATACAGGTTTGTTGTCGTCGTAATTATTATATTATTCAATTTAGTCAAGTTTGGGCCATATCATACCACAACAATGCGAAAACGTGGCTGACGCCCGCTGCTGGCAAAGGCGAAACCTGGGTGGTTAAGTCGCACATTTTGGCGTCGCGCCGCCTGTCAAAGTCTGATGGGGAGACAAGACAGTGACGAGAAACGCAAGATAAAGATGTAGATACTGTATCACTCTGTATCCAAGCGATTTGCCAAGAGCATCCATTTACTATCATTTACTGTAGATGACAATATATGATCAACCATGATCAACCCAATACTGCAGGCCCAGAACCAGACGTCATTTCAATGGCTTGGTGCCACCGAGGAACCAGAAGAATCACCACTGGACAAGCTGAGTGCGAAGGATCTCTTGAAGGAATTGGAGGACGACCGCACGGCTGACGTTGAGGCGAAGAGCAGTGAAGCCCTGGATACTCATGAGATATCATGCCAGTGATGCCAATACATCCTAGTCCTATATAATCCTCCATTATATGTGTATAGATAGACATTATATATGTTATCAATATGTTATCAATTATATATGATATGCAATAATATATCCCTAATATCTCTGGTTTCTATTTGACGGCTCAAAAACCTTGCCGTAGAGCATAGACGATCGCCTTAGGATGCCTTAGCCGAGTTGTCAATGAACATCAATGAACCCATAGGCATTGGCCCTTGGGCCCTTAGCCGAGTTCTTTGGAGGTGGTGGAACCGCCTCAAAAGCTGAAAGTGCTGCTGTCTGGCGGTCAGGCAGGGGCTCAGCGGTCTGCGGAGTTTGGCATCAAGCATGACATAGCATGACCGCTGGATATTTGATGTTCCATGGATCAAGCATGATGCGCGCACGTATCACGGACGAACATGGATATTTACAGCTTTAATACTTAAATCAAATCAAATCAATCATACCAATCATCTCCATTCACATAATGTCATGTCATATCATATCATATCATGTCATATTATGTCATATTTGTATAATACCGATATTATGATATTACATCAGTTGAATTCAAATTTATTCAATTATCTCTAGCATCTCTACCAGGTGCTACTGGATGTGGAGGATGACACTGGCCCAGCACTGCTGCGACTGTTGAACATGAATCTGAAGACTACCACCATGGCTGTTAAGGTGCGATGTGTTGATCCGGTCAGGGGAAAAACATTAAATAATGAACATTTACTAAATTAAATTAATATAAATTAATCTGAATAAGTCCAGCAAGATCAAGCGAAGATTAGAAATGAAGCGAACTCGGATTCTCCATGATTCTCTCAAACTGGATATCACAGAAATTCACAGAATATCACCAATATCGCCAGGTGGCACTCTTTCCCACCCGAGACCCTTCCCAGCGAATCACCATGACAGGTGGATTCAGCCACGGATCACCGGGGTCAGAGTTCCGCAGATTTCCGGCTGGACTTGGGTTTGGGTTCAGTGCCTTGGTCAACGGACCCTACACTGGCCCTACACAAACAGAAGATGATGCAATGATGCAGAAAATTATGCTATGTTTGCGTTGTAATTCATGGATGTATCAGTATCAGATATATCGCTCTTGGAGGACTCACATGGTATTAGATATGTGCTGTATATCGCCCTTTTTATTATTAGCTAAGTTTTCAACAAGCCCAAGTTCAGTTGTTCTGTACGAATGCTTACGCCACGAAGAACTGCTGATCCGAAGCCAAGGTGGACATATCCCACCATGGCAACCCGTTTGTGCAGCCCAAGCAACAGGAGGTGGTTTGGGGAATCCTTGTTGGCTGGGGCAGGTATAGATGTGGCCTGGCACAGGTGGATGACGGTCACAGTTCCTTCGTGGCTGTTGAGGCTGTTGAGGTGACAGCATTTTACAGCTACATTCCCTTGATGTAGGGATATCATCAAGAAATGCTTTAATGATGGGTGCACAACTACACAGAATATGAACACCAGCAATATATCCACCGAAGTGGGGATACATCGGATACATTCCACAATTGGATACTCAAGGTACAGCCTTTGTGGAGACATTCTGTCATATTCTCTCCGCTTCAAGATATTCGAAATGATTTGAAGCTGTTCTTTTGATGCTGTTTTCATTTGTCTAAATTTGTCTGAAAGACTTGGCCCAATTGACATTCCGGTATCACGACATGGCGTCAGGCAGATGCCACTCTCCAGCAGAGTCTGGTTCTATGTCTCGAGAATCGAGTTCAAACAACAGAGAACCTCATGAAGATGACGCTTGGTGAGTGAATAGGTTAGTTTTGGGCCATGAATGGGGGAACTGGGTGAAGATCACTTCCCGATAAAGTTGCATGTGGTTCAAAATTTAATGCCATTAGAACCCATGTTGATGATGTCTATCATCAAAGCACAGAATTGTTGGAGGTATCCAATGTTCAACATGTTCGAACAGTTTGAACATATTTCAAGCCAAATAGAAAGCTTGCCCTGAGGAGTTTGACCTTCGCACCCGTGGAGATCTTCATGATCCGGGGATTGGTTGCCAGCATCCTGGGCTTTTGGCCCGGTGCCCCCGAGGCCATGAGGATGGATGCGTGACACTGTAATAAAATGTAAAGAACAGTTCAAAACATTACAAGACTATGAAAGACTTGTATTATTATTATTGTATTATTGTGTGATATATTGTAATATTGTGTATGTGGTTTTGATGTAAATCCTGAAATGCATCTTGAGGGTTGGAAATGTAGAAGGATCATTTTGAATTTGGAGTATCATGTGTATTCAAGACTCTCAAAACGTGCAGAAGAGCTCCATGGATTTCAGGTGGAGAAGGCTGCAGGAACCACGAAGCCCAAGTTGGTGAAGAAGGTGAAAGTAGAGGACCCCAGAATGTGAGCTACCGGAAATGACGACGGCCGCACGTTGTGCAGATGATACTAACCACCTATTCCTGACGAATTGCAATTGATTATTTTTTTCTAAACTCAGAGTTTTGTTGGTGGCATTTCCGACAAAATTAATGTTGAACCACCCTGATGTGCGAGCAAAACTGGGATGATTAGCTTCCGCGTTGAACCCTCTTGGCATCTCTTAGCTGTATCCGAACTGTATCCATGCAATTCGGTGCGTCGCATCCTTTCAGATCTTTCAGCACCGCGACAGGAACGGGCCTCAGTGGCTGGCCCGAGCACGGCAGAAATCTTAAGGCCAGAGATTTGTGGAATGTAGCCACCATCTAGCTGCTAGCTGCATCCAGTAATATCAAATCTCAAATATCTGGTATTAGCATGAGCATGTTGCAGCATGTAATTGTTAAGATGACTCAGGATACCAAAGTCAAACAAAGTCGAACCCAGCTGTGCCACATTGGGATTTCAGATGTGCACAGGGAAATGGTAGAAGAGAACAAGACGAGAGCCAAAGAGCTGGCACAGGAGGTCTACAATCGGATCCCCGACAAGATCAGTGACTTGGAAAGCAATAATCACCTGACATTTGCTGACGAATTGAACTGTGGTTTTGACGAATTTTGACGACCACTTGGTCTCAAATAGGAAGTCTCGGGGTTGGTGGAGTCAGTCGAGCTACGGAAATACCATGGAATACCTGGTGACCTTGCAAGCTGATTTTGCAGCAATCTCATAGGCAACTTCCGCACTTCCGCCTGTTTTTGTTGGCGAGATAGCTGCTGGAAATGTGATCAATCTTGTGAGATTTGACTTAGGTCTGGAAATCAAATTGGCCTCACCCACCGTGCATGTACCTGTGGCTTCTGTGGGAAAGGCCAGTCCTTGTGGTTGCGGCTTGTCCATGCACTGACATGTTCTTGAACCTTAGAAAGGTTGTAATCATTGTAATCATTTGGGTGATTCCAGGCCGTCCTACAGGCATGGGATCCCACCCCCTGACCACTCGGATGATTCGAAAGGCGCTCATCACCCTTGGTGAGTTGTCGCTGAAAAGTCCCGAGCCGTGTTTGTTTAACAGTGACTTTGAAGCAGGGAGGGGATGGGACAAAAGACTGGCCAGAGGAATAGCCAGAGCCATCAAGAGCAAAATCGCAGGAGTTAGATAAAGTGATGAAGCTTGAAAGGCATAGCCGGCATAGATCGGCATAGCATATGCTTGTAGCATGGTGTACCCAGTTAAGATCTTCAAAGATGTCGTTTTCCAGATGTTTCCAGGATTCCAGGACCCTCAAGGTGTACCTTGAGTCAAACTGTCTGGGCCACTAAGATCTCCACTTCCAGATTGATCTCAACAACACCCGGATCTCGACTGTCAATCTGAACAATGAACACTTTGACCCTTGGAGTAACTCCTGCCGCCGTCTATTCAAATCAGTTCAACTTATTTATCGATACGCCCTTGAACAAGATCCTGTCAGGTGATATCAGTGACATCCTTTGGACCTTGAAAAAGGATTTGCACTTTGACGCACTTTGGCAATCTTTGGCACCTTGAAGATTTTGAGGATGTTGTGGAGCCTTTGCCCATCAAGATCTCCATGAAGTACCTTTGCTTTCAAAATTAAAGCCTCTAACCTGCTCTCATGAAAGGTAAGCCGAATTGTCAACAAATCGTAGTTCGAACTACAGAGCATGCCAGCAATATCAGATGTGAAAGAAGAGCCTTGGTACTTGGTTCCCAAGGACCGATTTGTGTATGAGATCTATAGTCCACCCGTCCACCCTTGACTTGAGGTACATGGAGCAAAAAGATCGGCTTGCAGTTGATGTGGCCATAGAGGTCTAAGAGGGGAGAGGGCTGGCGTCTCGTGTAAGTGCAACCCACCTCCTGTGCCGCCATGGCCAATGCCTTGAGCGACACATGTACTTGTAACGGGTGGCTGTGGTCCGGCTTTCATTGTTGCCAGGTGGATACAATACACATCAATACAGTGAAGTTGCACTATAATGAAGTACTCCCGGTGCACCTGGTTTCCGACGATTCATGCCGATTCACCAGACGATCAAACCATGCGCCAGGTAGGGCAGTTGAGTCTCTCAGCATCACCGGAGTCAGTGAATCTCCTAATGGGTTTGCCTGACGCCGCTGTGGCCATGTTGCTCCTTGGTCGCCATGGATTGGACCTCATTTAAGGGTGTGTGTGCAGCTGTCCTAGTCAGCCCATGTGGCTGGATGGTGTTTTGATTGCTATTGTATGTTATTGTGTTGTTCTTCCTGGAAGTTGAAGTTGGAACCACCATCTTGCAGACTAGACTAAATTTGTTGGCGTGAATATGACCACAAACAATTCCGCATGTTCCCAAAATTTCGCAAACGTATCCAAGAAACGGACTCAGATGATTCAGGGAGTTTGGTTTTGCCCAGGACGGTGCCGGTGCAAGCTGAAGCAGAGGTGCGTGCTCATTTTCCAGCTTCAAAGTCCAGCCAAAGATTGATCATGGGCCGCACACAGCCTCAAATCATGAGAACACTTTAAGTATCTTTAAGTGGTATAATTCGGTATGGAGCCAACCCGCGCTTGCAGTGCCTTTCACAGGAGATAAAGATAGTTGAAGCCGTCGACGCCGTCAAAGATCCAGCAAAGACCTTCAAACAAGGAGCACTGGGCCATCCGAGGCATATTTCGGAGCACTGCTTCAGATATCTTTACGTAATTGGTCGGACATGCTGAGACGGGTTGAGCGGGACACCTCAATTATCTCTAAATGAAGGGCCGACTCGCCGTTTTTGACTTCAACTGATTGCCACACAAAGCGTAGCGAAGCCAGCTGCGTATAGCGTAGCATGGCGTAGCATGGTGTAGCCAAGCCAAAAGGTGCCAGAAGGGAACAACCAACACTTCGCGGAGCTTCGGACGATTTAGGGTTGAATCCCTCCTGGAATGGATAGCGATTTTCAATTTAGTTGCAACATATAGTCATCCTCTTTGCCCCAATCACTACGATTATGGAGTATTATTATTATGATGTATTATGTATGTTTTTGATATAAGATAATATAAGATATATAAGTAATTAAGAGAAATGCAATGATCCCATCATCCTACGATCCGTCAGGGTCTAGCTGGTGTGTTTAAACCGCATTGGCAACAATTGTGTCGAGTTGTGAAGTTGTGTATTCTGTATTTAAAAGATGGTAAAAGCCTTGGCAACAGCCATGGATGTCATACCGCACCTGGAGGAGCCCAGAGAGGTTCTGCCGTGGAGCTGTTGGGAGAAGACTTTGCAGCACTTCAAAGGTCCCGTCGCTGTTCGAAGCCGTTTGAAATGGGACAGCTGGAAACATTACATTTTCAAAGGGTAGAACGGCATAAGACTGAATGAATGAACAGGAACCAACAGTGACAAAAACGGTCCATTTCTGCTGGGTATATATATACCGTATATACCGGTATACATGGATCATGTATGATATACAAAAAAACATGGATTTCATGGGGCACTTACTCTCCTCGACAAACAAGGAAAGTTCGGTATGTCAGACTGAAACACAGAATGGTTTGTTATTGTTTTTTACAAGTTTTTTACATGCTCAACTTTAGCTTTGGTTACCATTTCTTAGACATCATTTGTTCTTCGGGGTAAAGATCAGTGATTTGCACGGCGGAGACGATGCGGCCAGTTGCTTTTGAGATTCCCTGGGTATCCCTAGTTGAGTTTGCACTTGGGGATGATGTGCGACTGGTTGTTAATAGGGCAAAATGGGCTGGCTGGTTGAAGTCCATTGTGCAACCCAAGGAGCCCCTTTTCTTCTTGAGATTGGGCGCTGAAATTATCGAAATAATTTTGGGTCAATTTGGGTCAGCCTTGCGATGCCTTGCAACATGGGCTTTGAAAATGATGCATCATGATGCATCAAGACAGGGCAGAGGAGCTGCAAAAGAAGCCGATGCGAACCACAGATCCTTGGTTTTCAAGCGGCTGAAAAAAATGGCATTGGGCCATTTGGCCTTGCAAAACAGCCGGAAAGTAGCCACATGTTAACACTCTACCTCCAAAAGGCCGGGCATGAATTTGCGACATGTACAATACAAATATGAATACATGTGTATACATGTGTATGATTCATGATTGTGTATGTGTTTCATGTGTGTTTCATGTCAGGTTTATGTGTCATCACTTGGTATGAACAAATCCTGGCCCGTTTGAACTTTTTAACAATCCGGCGGTCCCAGGTATCCATGAGCTTTGATGATGCCACCTTCGCACTTTCCGACTCTATCATGCCTTTGTTGAGGTGCCACCTTGTACAAGCTATATAGGTACTATATAGAATCCATTAGATACCTATACTGCCTATGCTGCCTATACTCTATAGGCACCTTGTTGCTCATGGCTTTGGAGATGGAATGAGATATTTTCACTGGCGATCGTCGATCGTAGCTGAATAACATGTGTGATTACTTGTGATTAGTGGAGTGCCAACCTCCGTTCAGACCCAGAGTTTTCGGCAGGTTGAAACTGGAGGCCATGCCTCCTGGACTTCGTTTGGAGGTGCAGCTGTAGCTGCTAGTAGCTGTGACTGACTGATGACTCAATGACTGTGAAATACTGTGAATGTAGTCTACAGATGTCTACAGATGTCTACATTCTACAGTGTGTGGGGACTATCCCGCCATATCCCGCCACAGCATGCTACATGTCGGGAAATGTCCGCTGGCTCCTGGCGAGAGGTGGAGCCAAGTCATGTGGATATGAAGTTGGAGGAAGCCAGTCTGGGCATTGAGGTACTGAATCCCAGGCCGGAGACTCAGGAGACTCAGGAGACTCAGGAGACTCAGACTTGTGACTCAGACTGTTGCCACAATTCTGGATGGTTTTGTATATATAATTGTCCATGCAAAATGTATTATAATGTATTATAATTATAATGTATTGCAAGTTGGATCACTTTGGCCATGTTTCTTGGTTTTACATGGTTTCACTCATTTGGGCTGAAAGTGAACTGATGATCTCAGGATCCCACATGGCATTGCAAAACATATGTATGCGAATTGGGGATCAGCCAGCCAGGCACGGTGATTGGGAACCCTTCCTGGAACGTTTCGACTTTGGCTTCACTTTGAACGTCACCAAGACCAAAAGCCTCACCATGCAGCTTGGCACCACTGTGGGATGATTCAATGCAGGAAACAAGAGCAAATCTAAAAGGAAGGTTCAATTTGGTTTAATGATGAATGATTACAAAAAACACATCCTTGTCTTTCTGATATTTGAAGGCAGACTAGATCAGACTAGAATAGGTTCACAAACATGGTTCCAACTGCTGGCTGTGGATATGACAGTATCCACGAAAGCTAAAAGCATCTAGAAGCGCTTCAAACTTCAAACAACTATAGACTTGCACCAGTTATCGTCAAGGTGTCGACAGGTCCATCCAGACCCTTGTTTCAGACCATATATTCGACATATTCTCAAAACCACCGTTTCCAGGGCGAGACTCCGAACAGTTGGCAAGCTTTGTATCGGCAGTACCAGTTGGCAGGGATAACGCGGATAACGCAGGCCTCCCAAAACCAAATCTATGACATTTGTTTTGACCACGACCCATTGAATCCCGGGTATCGGTGGCTGCCCAGATACGCTCTGGGGCCATTACTGGTGAACGTGGTTCCCACGCCTCTTCATCAGATCTTGGAGCTGTTGCCACTGCTACTGGCAAGTTTGAGGCTGGCATTCGGGTTGATCCCAGAAAGCATTGAAAAGCCCGAGATTTTGCAGTGGTACTCATAAAGAAAGGGGGCTTTCTAAATGGTCAGGATATGTCAAAATATTCCCACGATCTTCTGAAGCGTTTGAAAGCCCACCCCGTGGTGTGACCTGCGGTTCCACTCCTGGAGGCCTCCAAGCCAAGACAGCGCTGATCAGTGCCACGCTTGAAACGCGAGCGTTTCGAGTTTGTTTTGTCAGAGTTCACCATCAACTGCTCTGACATGCTCTGACATGCTCTGACCTGTCTCTCATTTCATTCTGGTACAGCTGTGCCAAAAAACACCGAACACCATGCTCTGGTGAGGATGGAAGTTTGTACGTACATGTACGTACAAAGCAGCATGAAACAATTTTAGATATGTTAACTGAACAACTTTCAAAATTCTTCAAATGAACTAAGTCGAATAAGCCAAGCAGCCAAGGTCTTGTACCTCAACATCTACAGGTGGCAGTGCCGGCAGTGCCAAGATCCGGGTGATGAGTTTGTGGGGAGGACAACTGGAAGTTCACTGCACCAGTGGCCTCTTGGCGCAGTATGGAGCAGGTCGCCTCGAGACATGTTGAGATCATCATGTTGACTTCATATGTCTTACCATAGTCATCATGATGTCATCATAGAATATCTGTATTTCTTAGCCAAGGTTCGAAGTCCATCAGCGTTCCAATCCAACCCACGGGCTCCAAGTGGATCGCCTTGGACCAGCAGATCTCACCCTTGGGGTTGCTGCTTGGACAAAAGGTATCAATGTGAAATCTGTGAAATCTGTGAGCATGTAGAAATCTCAAGAAATCTCAAGAGATCAGTACAACCAATGCAACCTATGCAACCAATGCAACCAATGCAATTCTCAACATGGTGGGGCTCATTTCTGCCGTCACAAGAGTTTTGCCCAGCGACTTAGAGCAACACACCGCATTGCAGTGACCAGGAAGTATTTCCAAGTTGGGGTGCGCGGATCCTCTACAATGTCCGAACCGCTGTGGTTCGAGCAGAACGCTTCGGTGATGATTCCGGGCTGCGAAGGCACCTTTTCTGCCGTGTGCCGAGATCCGCTGCTTAATGGATCGATCCTTAGATCCGTAAGATATTCCCGCAATTTCCCGCAAACTTGATCCTTAGTCCTTAACTCTTTTAACTTGGGCTACCCTCGAAGCATCGGTTGATGACTGTGGGCGGATTTGCGGGATTCCCAGTTGGATGTTTGTCTGGGAAACTGCCTTGCCTTAGATTGTTTATGGACTGTTTATGGTTAATTTCAGTGTAAAATATTCCAAAATATTGTGGTTCCTAGCGATTTTGTAAACCATTAAATTTTGGCGTTCCCAAATGTTCCCACCTTTGGGCAAAACCCAATTGGATGTTCCTCATTTGAAGGTGACGTAGTGGCGCAGCTGCTGACACCCCAGCCCAACCATCGGCTGTTGCTGTTGGCGCCTGCCTTCCGACTCCATAACTGCACAGCCACACAGCTGCAGATGCGTGGTCAACATGGTTCAACATGGTCCAACATGGTCCGCATGGTTCAACAGAAGAAAACATGAGCAAACTCAAACGGTTGAATTCTGTTGGATTGGTTCAAGTGTACAACATGATAATATGGTTCAACTATGTTCAACTCCTTGGCATTTGTGTTTTGCATGGAAGGGTTGACACTGAGGAGTGCTTTCTGACAGTCAATGAGGTGAAATCTAGGACCTAGGAGCGTTATTCGAATGCTTGCAGCCAGCGTGCTATTCCTAAAAGACTCTTTTTGTACATCACCTGTACCGTCCGTGCAAGTGACTCTATCCCATCCCTGTCCATTTCTTTGCTGACCTTCTGGCCACCTTTTGGTGGCAGAGGTCCATTTTAAGATTTTTAAGCCTTTGGTCCTTTGGTTTTAAATTGTGCGTAGAGGTCCGAAGTATTCCGAAGTCATGTTGTTCATTCTACGGGACTGCGGGTTCCGAAGCTCTGATACTGGGTTCAACATCAACCTATGAACATCTATGACATCTTTTGACAAATGTTTTTTCTTTCAGATTGGCAAAACGGGATTTCACCTATTTTCACCTTCTAAAATATCTTGATTTCCCACAAAGTGCACGAGGTACATCGAGGTACCCTATTCGCTGTTGATTTTACATACATTGGCCACGGCTCTCCAAGGATATTCCCCTGGCAGTACGCTTCCACGACAAAAAGACAGTGGATGGATCGTCGCCTGAGGCGCGGATCTCCGGATCGCGTCACACGTCGAATCCACGGGGATGATCTAACAGATTTTGTAACATTAAATATACATTGAATATACATTGAATATACATTGAATATACATTGAATATACATTGAATATATCTGAATCAATTTGTAACATTTATGATTGTTATGAGAATTTAATCTACAAAATCTGTTAGATCATTGATAATTCTAGATTGGCTGCAGATGATTTTTGATTCATCCAGGTGGTTCAACAACTCCCAGCTGCTGTGTGCGACGCAGCCCTGCTGGGGACCGCTGGGTGCGGCCCTAAGAGATCTAAGACGAGAAAAATGGTGAAATCACGGCCCCCTAAGACCTACAATGGACCTACAATGGACCTACAAGATTCATCAAGTTATATAATATCAAGATTCAAGATATATCAAGATATATTCATCAAGATATATCAAGATACAAGTTGCATCAAGTTGCTAGGTCTCCAAATATCAAGACTCTTCGATGATTAATGCAAGGAACCGACACGTGAACAGTAGAATCATTTATGCGCCTTGAAATAGCTTGCGGGGAGTAATGATTTGCAGGGGGGCAGCTTGGAGCGGCCACACAAATCATGTTCGAAGGGGTTGCGTCTACTTCAGCAGTGAACAAGTTCGCCTGATTGAAGGTGCCAAAAGAAGGACATGTTGCGCTGATTTGAGATGTCTGCTGTTCAAACGCGAGCATGCCAGATCTGTGTACGCCAAATCCATCGCAATCACCTATTGTTTGCCCGTGAAAGTCCTAGGTTGGATGAACTGCCAGCGGTTGAGGGAACCATTGAGGCCATCCAAAACAAGGAGTTTCCTCGGCAGCGGAAGGAAGTAACGAGAGATTGGGAAACTTGAGATCTATCAAGGAGTTTCCATCCCCTGGGATCAATGTCTGAACTTTTCCGCTGTAATTAGCTGTGTCATATCGAGCAATTGGGATTCGGGATTGACACCTGAAGGCATCAACATGGACCAACACTGATTCTTGGGTGGGATGTTGAAATTTCATGAGTTTCTAGATGACCCTTTTGGTGGTTCCTAATTTTTGAACGTCGCGTGCTGTCAGATACTTCAATCATTTTGAATCATGTTCTAACTCGCAGCTTCAGTCCCAGGTTAATTCTGCCGCCCAACAGCATTTGTGCTGTGCCAGCTGGTTCTATTGGGAGCACGCGGAAGGGTCCCTTTACCGTTGTGAGCAGCTTGGGCAGAAGTTTGGTTAAGTTAAGTTGTTCATGTTGTTCCATGTTGTTCCCTTGTAGGTTGGGAGTCTTTCTTTGGAGCTGTTGGGAAGCATCCAGTGTGTTGACATGTGACATGTGACATGTGACATGTGTTGACATGTGATGGCGATGGCAAACTTCGCAGTTTCGGTGCCTCGGTGCATCTCGGTGCGAGGCCTGCGGCCCAACGCTTCGAATTTCAGCGCTCCGCTGCCGCTGGGCCGTGAAGCCGTGCAGGGCATCTCCTGCGTAGACAGCGGACACAGAGCCGTCCACTTCTTGGTGGAGGCTGAAGTCACAGGCTGGTCTTGGGAATAAGAAAACTTTCAGTTCTCACGGTCATCATGGTCATCATGGTCTCACATAAATAACATCATATAACTTACTACTTATATTATATATATATATATAACTAGGTTGAGGACATGACTATACATGACTACAAATGCTGATGATGTGGCGAGTTCGATAGGAAATTCAAATCAGCAGATATCATGTGCCAGGTTGATTCGTTTCTCAATCGTTGATTAAAGGACAATAAAGGGATAGATATGGATAAATAATAATTTCGTTTGATATAGTTTCAGCATGTTTCAGCTCTCTGGTCTTTGACGTTTGGTTGTCGATCCACAATTTGGCGAATTTGGGAGAGCCAAGCTGGTCGGGGCCTCTTCAAAGCAACAAGTTCAAGTCTGAAGATTTTTTGAATGATGCCAAACATGCCAAAAGCGCCTAACATCTGACACAGGAACGCGCTGTGCAGAGAAGGTGAAGACCCTCTACATCCGACCCACGTTGTCGCTGATGTGGCTGGGCGAATTGGGATGGCAAGCCGCGCAAGATGTGTTTGAGAAATCTTGAGACGTGCAGTTGGATGTTGAAAGAATGAGTTTCAGGCTGGAAATCTTCAAACAAGTCTTGTTTTCCTGGTGGTTTTGAAATGAAAGATCGGGTCTTTCAATTATGTTCACCTTTCGCTTTGATGCATCATTTTTGAGAACAGGTCCCCGACAGCGCTTGAAGAATCACATATGGGATAAATCGAATTTTGGTTAAGGCGACCTCTGACAAGTTCAACTCCCTTGTTGGATACAAAAAGTGGCTAATTGTGGCAAGCTGTCGGGAATCTCAAACATTTTGTCCAATCTTGCACACGGAATATTCGCGACGCGTCCATCCGTAAGTCCCAAAACCTTTCCCTTGGCAGTGCATCGTCATTCAAAGTTAAAGCTTCGCTGCCCCGCTTCACTCAGGAATGCCCTCCCGATGGGTTTCTTAGGCTCCGCTGGGTGCAGGGTGTGAGAAGCAGATAGTCACAGTGTGCCTGTAGTGCGTTGTAATAGTATGTAATAGTAATAGTGTTCCACACTTGGAGTTTAACCCACTTTCCAGCCATTTAGGCATTGTCCAGGGAACAGTAATCAACTAGACTATACTCAAGTCAACCAAGTATATAAGGGCTTAGGTTTCTTGACTTCTTACCCACAATCCATGCATTCTGATTAGATATTCCGTATGATATCTCCTTGTTCAATCTCCCCAATGTTTTTGTTGCCCATTTGAACCTATATAATATAATGTTTACATATTTTTACTGCTATAATATATTATAATATAATGTTTACATATTTTTACTGCTCAGATTTGCTTCGTTTAAAGCCATGGACATAGCCACAGAATGCCACAGAGATCAGTGGAGATCAGTGGAGGCTTGAACTTGGTGGGCCACGGCCCTGTAGTCGTTCCCGCCTTGGAGCGGCTCTTTTCCTACGATCTCAGTGTGCAAGAGCTTCGTGCGGTGGCCCACTGGACATCAGACGCTGCCAGTACTGCAGGTATGGCATCAAGGTTCGAACATGTTTGAAATAGAGTGTAATTATGATTATGAATAAAGTATCGATATGGATAGAGGATGATAGAGGAAAAAGGTGACTTGTGCTACAGTGCATCTATTTACACATTTCACAAGGTCTATGCAGCACTTTTCATGGATTTAACAAGACAACCCATCATGAATGGCAGATAAAATGGGAATAGAATGGAATGTACTACGACAATTGTGTATCCCTATCAAAGTATATAAGTTTGAACAGAGTCATGATCCGCAGTTCAATAGATGGGCAGGGGGAAAACTGTATATAAATATATACATAAAATCATACAACATAACATGATAGAACTATACCTACACAAAAGATGACCCTGCAACAAGTGTTTGCAAGGGAATGATAGATCCAGTGTTCTGACTCCTGAAAATTCCTGATAACACCAAGAAGATAGCAAGAAAATGGTGACTTTCTCTTTGGAATCTCCAAACAGTTCCCAGGTTTTCCCAGGTTTTCCCTCCATAATTTCAAGGAGCACCGCGACACCAAGGTCAAGGCTTGACGTTGACTGCGCGTTTGGCGGAGGGTCCTGAGACCTCAAAGGCGGGAAACCTGCTGAGTGCCACAAACATCCTGAGAGTGAGAACAGAGAGCTCAACCCGGGAATTGTGAAAAAAGATCCTGAAAACTGAGGATCCAACTTAGGATAAATCATGATAAATCTACTGTCCCCTTTCCTTGGCCACACAGAGGTGCTTTGTGGGGAAAGTGGCACTTTGGGGAGTAAAACCCCAAGCAACAAGCCCGCCAAATTAGTGACGATTTACCAGCAGGAGGTTCAAAAGTGCTTAAGAAAGCTTACCGGAATTGAGGGTGGAGAATGCATGATCCCAGCAATTGCACAACTCCTTCAAATTGCACCAGCAATTTGGGAGGATGTGAGTCCAAACATGGCGTAAAGGTCCATTAACCGGGAAAACTGATGATAATCCTTTGGAATTGCGTACCCCAATGTACCCCATTTTCAGACAAGCCATCTATATTCTCAATTTCGAACAGCCAGGAATCCTTGAGCGGCGAAGATGTGGTGGAGAACACAGGGAACGTACAGGGAGATGAGGACCGGAGTCCCGGAGTCACAAAGCATCCGACAAAATATACTCCTCCAAGCTAGAAATGGAACCTATTCGGTGATATTCAATCTTCAGTTTCAGTGAAACATTGGAAAGCCACACTGCAGAGCAGAGGACTAGTGAATCATGGTGATGAAATCATGCATTCATATGCATTCTGAGTGCCAAATATAACAAAAGCTTTCAGCAGCGGCTTCCACACGTGCTTCAGTGCACTAGAAGCAAGATTGTTGCAAAAAATCCCGATTTCAATATTGTTCCATCGTGCCTGGCATGGTGATCCTCTATAATTGACGATGATAAAGTAGTTTCTGAATGACTGGGTGTTTCAACCATAAACCAGATATAGACAGATTGTGGTACCAAAAGTAGTTTTGGTTGATATCCCGTTGTTGCTTTATATTTCCACGTTGGTTTAGTGACTAGTGTTCAGTAACTTGATTTAGACCCCCCCCCGTGTTTGTCCATATGTCTTCTTACATGTTGGTGGTTTAGATTCCCAATTTACCCCTACGATACGAACAGCGAACCAACAACGGGGACAAATCACCATTGAGTTCCATTTGATGGCATGCATAGAATATAGAATCTGCAAAATGTTCGAAAGACCGTTGATTCGAGTAAATATTTTGTACCGTCATCCGTAATTAAATTGAACCAACTGACAAGCATTTTTCTTAGTCAATGTTAATCGTGTTTGACCATGCTTTAACATCATTGTTTTTGACCCCTGTGGAATCCATGGAGTATGACGCAAAGAGTCTGCTGATGTCCCCACGATTCGCCAGGCGCTGATGCTGAAGCTCAAGGCCAGCAGCGATGGTGCGGCGGCGGCCTTGGCATTGGAATGCTTGGGACATGGACAGCTACGTTGCTTGGCCGCATGCTGCAACTGGTTCAGTTGCAATGGTATATCATATAAGAATATATAAGAATGATGTATATAATGTAGTGCGTAAAACCTTATGGCCTTATGAAACATAAACAAAAAGTAATGGTGATTCCATCAGATGATACGTAATTGAAATGGATACCATGAAAAAAACTGATCTTGATTTGTTGGTGATAGTGATTCCGTTGCAACTTCTATGGACAACCACTATTTCCTGGGTGGTTTTGATCCATTGAGTGACCGTTTGTTAAATCCATTGAACAATAGTGACAACATGTGACAGCACTCGATTATCACTACTGGATGCAAGAATTACCATACCCAATTGATGGTCACGAATGGATTATATACTGTAATTCATGCCTATAGCCAATAGGTGCTGATAATAATGGTTCAGCAAATGGTTCAGCAAACAAGACTGGATCGTTGTTGCTTCCACTCACGTGGGTGTCTTTCAACAGGGAATTACACGATTTATGGCAAAAGGATGATCAGATAAACCCATATGGTGACTGATACTGATATGACAGTAACGGATTATCGGAAATAGATTCAACCAACACATTGATATTGATTGATATCAATGATATTGATGATCCTTGCCCATAGGATATAGTTGTTGTTTTAATCGCAAACACTCTCAAACCTTTGGAGATTTTGACTGCAGAATTGACGGTGGAGCCCATGAAACATGACCTGCACAGATTGATATGTGCGTCATTTTCTCATATTTTCTCTTTACAGAAACGTGGATAGAACCCACAAATGCTTCAACAAATTTGGATGGGTATTTGAGTATAATATGAATATTATTGTATCTATTTGTTGAGACAAGCAGCACATATAACTTACAACAGTAGATGCTACCAATCATCTCATCAACAGCGATAATGACAATTAATGATATGGGAGCCGTCCGTAAAAGCAGGTCACAAATTTATGAATTGATGCGTTTACTTTGCTTTGCGCGATTGCTAAAACCTGCATCGCGATAGGCTGAGCGATTGGTTGGCGATTGGTTATACGGCTACCACCCTATTACTACTACTAGTACTAGTGTGAGCAGTACGCGAATCTAACTACTTCAACTGACCGAGCTTGACCTACTACTGACCCTGAATGAACCATAATGAACCATAATGAACCCGTGCCTCATGACATCTCATGACCCAGCTTGGCCCAGCTCATAGTTTAGCCAGGTTTCAGCTGCCCACTTTGGCTGCTGGATCGCAGTGGCTTGAAGGCAGGGTGATGGGATGATGGGATCATTTGAAATCTGAGATCGCCATTGAGTCATACGGAGTCACCTTAGATGTCATTCAAATATATTCAAATCATTTTAGGATTGGCGATCTCATTTCAATTGATGTCATTCCTTATCCGCAGATGTTGATTCCAAATAACATACACTTATTCTATCTTATTCTTATTTCTATGTGTTAGGGACGTGAAACTACCAGCCCACTTTTTGTAGCGGCTATCTGGCCATCTACAGATATCCAATCCTGTTCTGCTGCAGGACTTGTCGATACAGGTGGATGGTCAAGAACTGCCCAGCCATGGTGGTGTGACTCTGCAGCTGGGCCGAGAGATCAACGGGAAATGAAAACACCAAGGGCTCAAGGATATGGATCTGCCGCCGCGCACGAACTTTATTAGTAAACACATGTAAACACGAAATGTAATCTCTGTGGGCATTCCTAAAATGCGAATACATGAGAATACTAAAACATACTAAAACATCAACGGCAAGTACAACTGTAAACATCTGTAAAGATCTGTAAAGTACAGTGATGTACAGTGGATGAGTAGCGCAGAACACCAGGGCAGCGGCCCTCAGCCCCGGCTCACCTTGGCGGGTCGCCCAGGCTGCATGAAGATTGCTTCGAGACGCCATGCGACTTTGAACTCCGAGGCAAGCTGCCACCAGGTAGCGCAGATGTCGCGCAGATGTAGCCTGACCGATCAGGTCTCATGTTTGCAGATGTAAAGACTATTCAAGACCTCAACTTTGAAGGCTTCCCACAAGCTGATTTTCATCATGGCATGTCATGGCCACTGTTTATAGAAAGCAAGAAAAGAGGGATATGCTTTGCTAAGGTTGATGGGATTGATATGGGATTGATATGGGATTGTCTAGCGGAACTTGGAGGACCTCAATGGAACTTAGTGGAACTGCTGTTTCTTCTTTTGGAGTTGTGCTGCATTGTGCCAGGTGGAAAAGGCGCAGCGAAGCATTCAATGAGCCTCAGTCCAACCTTAGACGGCTAACGATTTTCACCGATGTCCAAGGCTTTACCAGGTGTATCCAGGTGTTAAGCCACCGCAACAAGCACGGGGTGGATGCAGCAATTGTTTTTTGGAAGTGTTTCCAGTCTCAAGTCCTTTGAAAGAAAACGGACTCGGACCGGTTGGATTGGGAGATTGATCCATACCCTGTAAATACCTTCTCAATCTTTTCAAGAAAATACCTGCAAGACTCCAAGACCCCACCAACTCTTGTGACTGACAAATTGTGATGCTCATCGCCTTCAACAACCTTGAAGCCGCGCTAGCGCACAATCCAAGCAAAGAAGCAATAGCTGCCAAGAATCATACCAGAAGTCTGGAAATCATCTAGTATTACCAGGTAGACATGGGTAGATCATGGTAGACATTGGTAGATATCATGGACTACATAGACCGGAGTAATTCACTGTAATTCACTGTGATCTCCAAGGTTTTCAGCCACCCAACTGCGAGTGGTCCGGTGTGGTGCTTTGCAGCGACGCAGCGGCGGGATCAACGCCCTTCGCGGTGCGTCGCAAGGAAGGAGAAACCGAGGTGCTGCGGTCACTGCGTCAGCTGTTGGACGTTCGTTTGTTTTCAAAAGGACCGAAGGACCGAAAGTTTTCAAAAGAAGTTGCTGTTGGAAACCGAGCTGCTAAGCTTCACCATTCGCCCAAACTTTGAGGATCTCGGATGGTTCAGGTCATATACGATATATACGTGATAATATAATACATGATATAACATTGGATATATAATATACACTGATAGGCACTGTTCTATCATTTTCTGGTATATGTAGTAACTGCGTCGTTGTTTGAAAAAGTATGATTTGCCTTGATGCTCCGAGTGTTCAGCTTCATTTTGCTCTATGGAGCCGAGCCTATCTACTTTTGCAAGCCGCTTCACAGCTGGGAACCTGGAGTAAGTCACACTACCACACGAATGTCATGGAAATTCATGGAATATGTTTTCTTTTTATATGATTTTACAATTTTACATGTTTCTTAGTTTTGATATTTAAATTCAGCAAGTGAAAGAGGTAGAGAAATGCCACAGGACAGTTTTGAAATGTTTTGTGAATCTTCCAGGATTCGGGGGCTACATCGGCAATGAAATTGATTGCAGTACTATGATAAGATGATTGATACTATGTTATACTATGTTTACTATGCATCAATTGCATCAATCTAAATTCTTCTAGATTTTACTGTAAATATCTGTAAATTCTATCAGTTACCCGTGGCGTTCCACAGGTGTGGAGTGTGGATGTCGCTCCCCTCCACGGCAGCATGGGCATCTCCATCCGTCATGGCTCTGACTTCGTGGCCATCAATCGGCTGGAGAACGTGAGGTGCGGACGGTGCGGACGGTGCGGACGGTGCGGACGGTGCGGACGGTGCGGACGTCAACGAGACGTCCAATGACGTCCATGGTGAATGGCTGTGAATGGCTGTGAATGGCATTGAATCGTGATTCGTGATGGGCTGATGGGTTGGGTTGCAATGAAAACGTGGAGTTCATTTCAGTCATGATTCTTGCTGAAAATCTCATGAATGACTGGAATCACTTGATCTTGAGCTGCCTTAATTCGCTTAATTTCTCTTTTTTTTGGTCAGGAGTGCTCTCCACATCGCACAAATCGAGTTTGCCAGAAGGGTACAATGGTCCGAAAATGCAGATGTTATATGAAGTATATTGAAGTATGATCATGTTTAGCCACAGGGGAACCTGAGTGTACACACGTCTCAACCATGAAAAAGGTGGCGTTTTTTGGGCTCTCAAGCCGTCAGAAAAAACCTGTGATATTCGGCCAGGATGCAGGTGCAGCCTTTATCCCACAGAGGAGAACTCGAAGGCATTTTCGAAGTTCTGTCCAGTGGCTCTGCAGCAACTGGCGTGGCTGATTCGGGGGTGAATTCTCATGGATGCCCTAACTCTCCTGTGTCAGCGTTTTAATAGATGATATTAGAATATATTAGATGATATAGAGGTGCTTCTGTTGCACAACATTGATGAACATAGGACCTAGGGAGGCTTCCCATTTCAGGGTCAGGAAATATAATATGAAGAAACGAGAAGAAACGAGAAGAAACGAGATATAACGATATACAACGAGATAGAAAGAATTAGAAAGAATTAGAAAGAGCCAATGACATCCAATGACCTGGTTTGCGGATGTTTGCGGTCAATGTTCACCTGAGGTGATCCAGTCCCAATTGGCTGGTCGACACCTTTTGCGGGCTCTCGATGTCGAGCGGCTCGGTAGAGGGCTGATCTCAGCTTGACTCCCCAAAATTGCACTTGGTCCGTTGGTCAATGTAAAGTAAAGTCACTGCATGTTCATCATTGTCCATTTGTGAATTGTTACGGAACTGCGAATGGATCTCAATGAACGTTGATGAGTTCTGATGAATGCTGGCCGCTGATTTTAATGAATCTCAATGATCTTAGGTGTTGACTGTCAATTGATGTCACCGAGCCTCACATCTTCATTTGATACCCTTTTAAGCAATCACCTCTATGTTTGAAATGTGTGGAGGTTTCATCCATTCACCCCCTTGACTTGAACGAAGATATTTCCAAAGCTTTCATCTCAAGAGGCGAGGGTCACAGTGGAAGGACAAGTCCTACCGATCAATCTGCAACGTACCGGAACCTATCCGGTGGAAGCCAAAGGACGGCATCAAGGCTGGTTGGGATCCTTGGCAGAACTGATGGAACCAGCATGAACCAAAAGAAATAGAAAGAAATATAAAGAAATAATGCTCTGCAAACATTGTTGCCAATCTCCCTTCCCACCACCAGGGCTGAAATGCCCCCTGGTACCTGAGAATCTTGAACATTCTAAGATTCCAAACTCAATTCCCCGTCGTTGGAACGGATCCAAAATTCCCCCAACCAGGTGAATTGAACCGTAGAATGCAATAGCTAAAAAGATGCCCAGAATGATTCTCCATTGTCTCATATAAATTCCTTCCATTTTTGACCATTTTTGCCATGCCAAGATATGCTTTGCACGCCATTTTGCCCTTGATATCCACGTCGTCACGTAGTTCCAAGATGTTTTAAGATGTTCCAAGGTGAAAGCCATGTGCCGCTGTCCCTCCGCGTACATCGCCATGGCCTCGTCACCGAGCTCAGCCTGGAAGACGCCTGCAGCGACGCATCCAGCAGCGATGCCGGAGCTGGGAAGCCGAGTTGCACCGTTGCGGGTTTGACCATGCTTTACCCCCATAACTAATATGGAAAATGCATTAAATGAACATAATAATAATAAATCATCATAATATGTATATATATATGTATATATTATCTATGTAGATGTTGTTTCAAGTCTATAATGATACAATCTGGCTGATATTATTTGATATCAGTTGATATCCATTGCATATTATGGTGATGAGTTTTGCATTGAAAAAAAGGACAATTACATTGCAAAGTTTGAGTACTGCACGGAATTTCCTGATTTGGTGGTGATGAAACTAATATCAATCAGCCTACGGTGAAAGATGACACTTGAAGGAACGTGATCATTTGATGAGCAAAGATTGGACTGTCCCCTATCTTTTGGTACACCACTGACCACGCGATTCCTCTGTCCCTATTTATCATATAATATCATCATATTATCATACGTATATTAATGAATATTAATATGATTTTGAGCCATAGCCATGATTGTGAGTTTTGAAGAAATTTCCTATCTTCCAGGGATCCAACATGCTGTACCAAGGGCTTCGATGCCTCCTTGTCTCTGCGAGTGAAGTTGGGCCGCGCCGGAATCTCCTTAATCGAAGAGAATGCGACC